AGGACTTCATTAGAAATTACGCTATTTAATCTTCCAATTGTTTTGATGAAGTAAGTTTTTAATTGATTTAAGTAGTTTAAAAGTGCAAAAAAAATAAATTCTAATAGTTTTTCTGATGAATATTTATATATTTCTCTCTCAAATAACAGAATCTACTGATATGGTTGTGATTTGATAGTACTCATATCGTGCTTAACTGGAGCTAAATATTTCATAAAGGTTTTGTTGATTTGTCTGATTAGGGGACACAAGTTTAATTTTTACAACATATGAACGTGTTTTCGGTTGTTCATTTGTCTGATTAGGGAACACAAATTTCATTTTTACAACATATGAACGTTCTTTCGGTTGAATAAAAGTAACAGCCGTAAACTTGTCATAATCATTAATTAACTCCGCCCACGTATACTGTTTATGACGTCACACAATTGTGTATCGTTCGAAGAAAACGTACATAGCTCCGTCTGCATGTATTGATGTCGACGTCATGGAACTTTGTCACGTTCAATGGAAAGGTTATGAGATGGTAAACCCAGTTTGCGGGAAATAATGTTATTGAATTAATGTCAGTGTTGTATGTAAATATAATGTTATTTTACAAGTGAAGTTCCTCACCGCTTGTTCTGTCATCAATATAGATATATCAAGACCTTTATATATCGTAATTGTTCAACTAATTAAAGCGTTTAAATGAGTCAGAATATATATTGTATCGGTAAGCTTTATCATCACAGTCCATCATACCTGTACGCGTGAATTCTTCACTGAATTTTACTTTTCGACCATTTCTTGGTGTTATCAACACGTCAATACAGGATATATATATTATATTTATAATATATTCATGAAATTAAAGTTGTCAACAATCAAATCATTCAAAATCTTTTTAAACTACGAGGATAAGAGTTTCACCTGTTAGGTTGGATTTGTTTTACGTCCTATTAACAGCTATAGTCATTTATTGTCATAACTACTGATATTTTGTCTGTAGCTTTATTTTAGATATCTTTTAAGGTTTCAAATGTGAAATTAATACCAGGTGAGCGATGCTTCAGCCACAGGTGTTGAGCAAATATTATATGATATTTATAATATATAATATTAACAACAATATAACCTGTCTAAACCGGATGTCGCAGGTACCAAACTATTTGGCCGGTTAACACAGGTGTCCGGTTTATACAGGGTCGGCATGTCATCTTTTAAAAATACCAAAACATGTTGTGTTTTGCATACAGTTGAGAAAGGTCCTTTTGAGTCGGGTTTGGAAAAAATTCCAAAGTTTTTATCAATTCAATTTTTGTTTCTAAATCTATTTCATTCCGAGACCGCTCTGGGGAAGGAATTTCACTTGAACCCAACGATCTCTTTTTTGTTTGGAAGGTGTGCATTTACGAATTAGCCAAGCCACAATTAAACCCTCGACAGACATGCATTTCAATAATCATCAAAAATACATATAAATAAGTTCACGCTATTGTATAATAAAATCGTGCATGCATTTTGAATAGTTGTCGATCACCTCACATATAACAATCTCAGGTACCTAACCCCTTGGGCGCCTCACAGTCGACCTTGACTTGACCCGACCCGACATTGAATAGTGCTAAATTATTAAGAATGTGAATGATTTAGATTGTAACCGGCCGAGAGAAATTTCAGGACCGGAATGAACAGGTTGTTTTTACATGGATTACTATGCCAGTCTTTGTGAAGCACCGGCATTTTTCGGAATGGACAGTGTCCGGTTTATACAGGGTTCAATTACTATGGTAATATAGGGCAAATGATGGGACCACGAATCGCAGCCGGTTTAACAGGGATCCGGATTAGACAGATACAGGAGCTTGTTACCCTGTATCAGCCGTCAAGATCACTGCGCTCGGAGTCAGAATCTTTGTTGTGTGTCCCAAAATCTCGTACTGTGGCCTACGGAAACAGATGCTTTGGGAGGGTTTCGACTACGTTGTGGAATAGTTTACCATCTGCTATTAGGAAGTCAAATACCCTGGCCAAGTTCAAGAGGGACATAAAAACTCACCTCTTCACGTCTGCATTTTAGAATCTTTGCAAAGACATCTTGTAAATACCAGCCTTTTATGTTTTTCAATTATGTGCACATTGCTTGTTAAATGTATGAAAGTGATTGCAAGCCTTTGTTGTTTGTTTTCACAATTATAACCATTACTAGTATCCATATGTTGTAAAGCGCCGTAGAGTTATTTTACAAATTATATAGGGCGCTATATAAATGTTGTATATTATTATTATTATTATTATAATGCCGGTTTAGACAGGTTACATTGTATTAATATCTTATACTTATAGCATATAAAGGGTGTCCTGTATCTTTAATTCACGTAAGGCTGAGAGATATTTGAAATTGGCAAGTTTGAAATGTGTCAAGAAACCATAACTCAGTATAAACCACAAGGAAATTGTGTAGTAAATATTCATTTTATGTAAGTGTACTCAAATTGTAAATTAGAAAGGAAGTTATTGAGAAAACAAAACGCTTTTTCATTTGAAAATTACCTAAAACAACCCCCTGCCTTAACCTCCGTTTTATATAAACAACCGTTATGTCCCTGCACTCATAAAAAGCAAAACTCAGACGGCAATATGAATGAAAATGGCTACCAGATTGGTGACATTGAATTTATCAATATCAATAAAGTCACACTAGGGCTCTTAACATAAAATCAATAATATATGGAAAATTATACAAAAAATTGAAGAACCCAGTAGCTGTCACCACACACGCATGGCAGTCACTACTACAAACTACAACAGCTAGCCCAAGTGGGGTTGCCAAAAAACGCCGCAAAGACCTTCACGAGGACTACCATGAATGTCTTCCCCACTGAAGGCTAGGTGAAACAGCCAATACTGGAGAGAGAGAAAAAGAGAAACAACCAGGGGAGGTAAAAATTAACACAGACTCACTTTTAAGTTTATAAATATGTATAAAAAACTTCTTGACATCCATATGCATAAACTAACATCATCTGATCACACTCCAATCAAATCATTGTAAAACAAATGACTGATAATTACAGAACCTCGGCGATTAGTTGATTAGCTCTGTAATTAACAGTTATGCAAGTTATTCAGTGTGTGTATGTACCAGTGGCGTTTATTTCCGGTGTTCTGTCGAGAGTTACGTGTACATAAATCATGTATAATCAGTGTTAGGTTGCGTTTGTGGTTTTTGGCATAGGCTGAAAGCGCTCGTAAGACCAGAAAGTTTGTGAGTTTTCCAGACTTCTCTATAATAATATAATTTAGTACTTTTTTGTGGTAAAATTCATTTCATCACTCGTTATGAAAGTGATCGGATCATTCTCATTAACAATCGAAAACGGAATTACAGCCAAACCTGCTCATGCGACCAACTCTATAAAGTGACCGCCTGTGTAAAAATATCACTTTTAATGTTCCAAACTGTATTGATTTCATTGTGATTTGAACCTGTATGAAAAGATCACCTGCGATAACAGGCCACTATTTTGACTACTAGTTGGTTGTCTCTTAATACAGGTGTGACTGTATATTTTAACCAAAAATAGCTTATTTGTATAAAGAGTTATAACATAGAATTTGATTGAGATACTTAACTGAATTTTTTAATTAAAAAAACAACCTGAGGATGACATCAAATTTCTGATCATATATTCAGTCATCAAGCTATGTTACTTCAAAGTTTTCTCAACTAATGAATTGATTAATAAATTTGATATGTAAACGTCTACATCAAACATAAATTAATGTTCAGTTTGCTTTATGATAAGATACAACTACAAAATCATAAAGCCTTTGAACTAAAAACTTAATTAACATTCCATCTATAATATAATTAGCATTCCAATAAGTATATAAGTGATACACGTCAGATGATTGAAAGAATAAAAATCTCATTTTAACACGACCAGAGTTTGGTTTGGTTTGGTTTAGTATTGTTTAAGGTCCTATCAACAGCAATGGTCATTTAAGATTGGCCTCTCATGTGTGCAAGATGCATGCGGGTTCGTGTTTGTCTCCTTTTGAAAGCGCAGAACTGATGCCGACTTTATAGTGCTACCACACTGAAACATACTGCAGAAGACACCCAGCAGGACACCCCACCCTGTCAAATTATACTGACTACGGGCGAACCTGTCGTCCCATTCCTAAATTTCTGAGCCTTAAGCAGGAGTAGAAACTACCATTTTACAGACTCTGGTATGTCTCGGCCAGAGATGATGTCATTTAGATGTGCAACCTCGACTGTGCAGTACTTCCCTCGTTGTAAGAAAACGCCGACTTCCTTGTACACCTTTCCTTGATAGATAAATAAAATGCTACAAAAGAAAATTTAGTTTACTTGCTGATGTTACAAAGTATTCAATATACAATATCAATTAGATACTCAGATATCAAAACTGATACGAGTTATATTTTACCAAACGGACACACATAATGCTCAAACAATCAATGTTATAAGTAGTCACAGAGGAGGAGGTTTAGCTCTAGTGAAAAAAACAACATACTTTTAGTTTTTAGATATTATGTTTCGCAGGTATAATTCTTTCTAATATCTTCCACCTCCCTTGTCTGTTATTTCGATGCAATATATTTTTCACGCGGTGTTTTAAGTTCATTAGTGGCCGTTATAATGATATAATCAAACAAAAATATGGATTAAGAAGGTAACTTTAAAACCTCAGTAATGCATCTTATATGATTTTGTAATGTATCTTGTTACACGCGTGAGTAAAGTTACATTCTTAACCCGCATTTATTTTCAAATGCATGATCACTCTGATATATAGGAACTAGGAGAGGCAGGAAGTCAAATGCTTTTGTTAGGATAATTTGTCACCAAAGAGGAAGAAATGTCACATCCCTATATACATGTAATATTATATTTCACCAAAGCAATTGTTCATGTGCAATAGGGAATTCCAATAAATAGCTTAAAATTTGACTTCCCGTTCACTGTCAGTTATTCTGTTGTAGCACAAAACGTATAGCTGTAATATGGAGACCACGAGAGTGTTTGTGTATGTAGTGGTGTTACTTTTCTGTGTGGACAACGTCCAATGTCAAACGCGGGATGATGTGGACTCCCTTTATCGGGACTTATTCAATACTTCATACAACCCTCTATCTCGTCCCGAATACAACCAGTCGAAACCCACAGTCATAGATTTCGAGTTCCACTTGTTATCTTTTGTTACTATTGACGAAACTAAAGGTGTGTTTTCAGTTACCGGTTTCCTTTCTTTAAAATGGACGGATCCTCGTTTGGCATGGAATCCTAGAGATTATGGTATGACTACGAGCATAATCCTTCCTCGCAACAAGGTATGGAAACCAGAATTCATTATTGTAAATCCGGCGTCTTCATTAACTTTATTTGGGCCTGACGAGTTTCCCATACGATACACCTACGATGGTAAAAGTATTTGGAATGTTGGGGACTTAATGGAGGCCGTATGTGAATATGACGTCACAAAATTTCCTTTTGACAAACATTCATGTGAAATTCAACTCTTCCCAGTTGGAACTTTGGCTCATGAAATCGAATTTACCTCAACACGAACAACGGTTGGTCTAACATCTTTTAAAGAAGGAGGGGAATGGTCACTAATCAAGTCAGAAGTATCCTTCCAGGAAAGGCTAGGACTGTTTAAACTAGCTTTCATAGACTTCACTGTACGCCGACGGTCAGAGTTCTTCCTAGTAAATATGTTCGCGCCAATACTCATAATTCTTCATTTGAATACATTTGTGTTCCTCCTGCCCGCAGATGCTGGTGGTCGCACTGAGTTCTCTATGACTTGTATCCTGTCTACAGCAGTTTTCATGACAGCTGTTAGCGACCAGCTTCCGGCCTCCTCCCTCCCCTTATCAAGTCTGACTTATTTCCTCATGAACATGCTGATTCTTTCTACCGCAGTAGGCATATTGAACATCATATGTCTGCGGTGTTACTTCACGAACAAGACCGAACAGGTACCAAAGTATCTAAGCAGGCTAGTAGCCTCATGGCAATCCATTATCAAGAACCTTAAGAAATGGGAATGTTCACGAAGCAAGGCAAGCGATTCAGACAGAGACTCGCCTGAAAACAAAGCCGTCAATGAAGAACAAATTGAAGCGATACGTACTGATGAAACATGTGTGTCCTCTGAAGAGAAGACATTAGAGGAAGTCCCAATTGAGCCGCCTTGGCGCAAAGTTGGACATTTCCTGGACATTATTTTCTTTGTGGTTACAATCACTTTGGCAATTTTAATATCGATGATATTTTTCATAAGTACTGCGCCTTAGAAACAATTTGAAAACCACCATAAATGTGTTGAACAATATATATTTTATTGTATGTCATTCCATGCCTTTGTTTGTGAACTTGTGTTTGATTTTCATTAAGGTAATGTTCAATGACTATTATTACATGTATCAATACTAATTTATAATTAAGATATAATATGTATGACATGACACCAATACGGTATGTAAAAAAACTGAATATACTGTTTAAAGGGACATCACGTGAAGAGCCATATTTTTTTCTAATTAATGAATGTATTATATGTAGTATCCATATGTTGTAAAGCGCCGTAGAGTTATTTTACAAATTATATAGTGTCCAGTTTAACCACTTGAATTGTTCGGGAAAGCCCTGCTAAAAATAGCGCCGATAACGTCACCTGATCATGACTAGGCAGTAAACACAAGTGGTCTGAGCGAGATGAAACGGTTTCCAAAGGGGCCCCCAGAGAGGGGCCGTCAGGCAACTGCAAACTTCTTATCACACTATGAAACCAAGTAATCTGATTTCTAAGTCCGTATTCAAACTTATTGAACAGTAATTATTCATCATCAGAAGTATATTGCATACTTGCCAATAATCAGAATTTAAATTTATTTAGCTTTTAACATATTTGTTGCCAATAAAATTGAACAAAGGATGGGGCAAAAGTTTTTACAATTTATCACAGCATTCTCCCGTCATACATTTACAATTAAATGTCAACAATGATAAAAGGCATAAACATAAAGTATATATATATAAATATATATTGAATTTATTACCAGAATGTGACCGGTACCACGGAATAAGTCCGTGCCGGTACTGATGGTACGAGGCTAAACACCTTCCCTCAACCATGGGACAAACCTTTCTGTAAAAAAGGAATATTCACGAGACGAATATCCTTTTTCAAATGTTTTCATAAAGTGCATACATGCAATGACAAAATACATGCGTATAAAAAAAAGGAGAAACGTTTGTGATTTTTGTATTACATTGTACAACTCAATGTCTTTGGCCAATTTTTTTTCTACACCATGCATATAAATGTATGCATACTCTCTTTCCCACTTTCACTGTCTCAATACGCTAACACTTAGTAAGTCATATTATATTTTAGCCATCACACACAACAAACTGTATGGCAATACCACTACGTGTATATGTAGAATATGTGTCAGATATGGAACGTGTTGAGATACTTGATCATTACATTTTTCAATTATTTACATAGAATAAAGCATTCTTGTAAATGGACCCTTTTTATGTTGAGACAACTTTTCTTTAATCATTTCATTTTTGTCCGAAACAGAAGCCGTAGTTATCGGCAGCACGCGTCGTTTTTACAACGTAAACAAATGTTTTCCCCTGTTTTCAATACGTATTCCGATTCTATCTGAAGTCGAAAATTAATTCTTTTTAGAGAAAAGGTTGTTACATGAGCATACATTCTAAGTCAACATCATATAAAAACATGAACTGTTGAAAAATTTCGATTTAAAAAAAAAATGTTAGCGATCCTATTTATATATGTCATGAAATAAACGAGGAATGTAAAGAGAATATAATTTCTAGTGTACATAATGTATAGGGCTGAATTAGTTTTAATAATACTTTGTGTAATTGGTAATAAGGCATTATTTCATAAAGTTAAAATAATCATGAAACATGTTGTTTATCCGATCAGTCTCAAAAGTTGCCCTGCACAGCTAAGGACCAAGGGGAACCTGCATATAAAATTTGAGAAAGATCCCTCTAGTACTTCTTGAGAATTAGCGATAACAAAGAATTGTTTACGGACGGACGACGGACGACAGACGACGATCCTATTTACTAGAAGCAGGTACTCCTTAAATTCCTCAGTTATTCATCCTGGTCCGTCATTTTGACATTTTTAATCTAGCTGCGAATAACGTATACGTAGCTTTCTGACGACGAGATATTTTTTTGTATATATTGCGTCGTCGCGCCATAGGAGGCCGGGTATTCATATTAGTACTAATTTAAATATTGCATGTTAAAACTTTTTTTTTTAAATCAGCAATATAATAAAATCATAACATTTTACTGAACCCGGTAATATTATAAATTATGTAAATCTAATAGCGCACGTATCTCATTTGACCCCGATCGCGCGAGACGCCGTCGCCATCACAACAGTTATCCCTTGGAGGGCCTCATGGCAAAATCAAACTAACCAGTCATTTATCCCTTCCTTTCGCATAAACCAAAGTAAACTCTCCCCGATACATGCCCATTAACATATTAAACAAAGTTCATCTGTGTTCAAACTCAGACAAAGATACCAGCGAGGTTAATAGTTTCAGATATTTATTAATATTATTGAAGTTAATTTTAGTTCAACGTGAATACCTATATGAGTCATCATATATAAAAGTACATATTAGGAGGCACGGTAGTCTAGTGGTAGGACGCCGAGCACGTGACCGAAGGGTTGCGGGCTCGTATACTTTACTCCGCTTGTTCCAGTCTACTCAGCTGTAAATGAGTACGTGGTTGGGCAGTGCTAGAATTGTAGAATGTTAGCTGTGAGCGCCGAAATGGCAGTACTGGCTGTATGCTCCCCAGTGAGTTGAGAAAGATATTGGCTGTTTGCAAAGGCCCTTTAACGACGGATAATAATTTGTGAATCGCTTCGAGACGACCTACGAACTAGGTTGTAATAAAGCAGTATATTAGAACCTCGAATTGTTATTTTTATAATTATTATTGCGTCATACTTCCTTAGCTACACAGTTACCATGTATTTATTATCACAATCAGAAAGTTAACCTTGTTGGCATCTTAACGTGTTTTTACTTTATGTTTTTTAATAAATCAGCATTAACATTGGGATGGGATGAGGGCTGTCATGTTAAATGTATTATAGTCCTGAGCTGCAAAAAAAAAAAACATGTTCTGAAATATAATGAAAGACGAGAATTAGGATATACAAATGTACTACAAAAATAAAAGTCGAATGCAATGGGCTTCAATATTTATGGTTTTGCTTCGATTTGTTCAATTTTAATCTCTTAAATAAATTATATTTTTCACAGCTTAAAAATACGATAAATTCTCTGACACTTATTTGTATGTATACCTGTAATGTGAAATGGAGAGTTGTGTGTTAAAGTAGTGCCACTTCCTGATATTGATGGCAGACGATAACATGAGTATACGTTCATCTCTAGATCTAATTCTAAACCTGAACATGAATGTAACATTGAAAATAAAATGCAATCAAAGTCTGCACAACTCATTTTTTAAAATTCTCTTTTAACAATGTTTTATCATAAGGTATTTGTTTTCAAGTAATCAGATGCAGTTCATATTTGTTTACTTTCTCTTCACAAATTTGGAAACCTTTAAGATACATGTTATCATCTTATATACATTCTAAAAGAATAAAATTGGGTCTCTTTGTGATTTGTTCATCAGATCACGCGCTTTTTCAGGGATGATATAGAAAGAAAGAAATATTAAGTAATCAATAGTGTACTCTATGACCCATGCAAAAAGACAGAATAAGAACTGGAAGTCAACCTGTAATAAAAATAAAATAAAAAACAACCAGCGAAATAAGCAGGATTTTTACCAATTTCCTACTGTAACATTATGTGCCATGGGCGCTAGTCCTGACATCCTCGAAAAAAGAATTTGGCGAAACTGACAATTTTTAGAAAATCTGCGACAATTATAAACCACGAAAAAATAAAATGTTTGAAGTATAATAGAATCCGACTGGTTTCTGTCTTTTTGATAATTTATAAATACTTAATAACTTAACTCCACTTTCAACCTGATGGATGTTTCTTCTCATTCTTATCTATTCCTCATTTCCATCAAACGTCACCTGGATTGGACATGTACTCTGTGACTGCTACTTAAAGCCATATTTTATTTGTTCTTTGACACTCGATATAGCTAATGCTTTAGACGTCAAAATCCGCTTTAGGTAGCATTCCCGCTGGGCTATCACGCCAGCAGGCCATAATCATTACGTCAATCTTTGATCACTTTAAGCGAAAGCCAGTATATGTACCTGTAATACGATGAACGGGAACACGGAAGCTTGCTAACTTTGTCTAACATCGCGATTACACCTGTGATAACAAAGCGACATTACTTCCCAGGGACGGAATTCGTTCAGACGCGACAGAAAGAGCATCTTAGTGCGTCGCTGAAAGTGAAAGCCCACTAGAAGGCACTAACATCGTTTGGGTGGTAGAAGTGACAAAGCGAATACATTGTTTTACAGTAAGTGCCAAACTGAATCAACGCCCGCACATTGAGTGTATGTCCGCGAACGATCGATCCGCGTGCCGTATGCACGTATTCCCAGTAAATCACTTCAGGACCGACATTGGGGAATACTGCATGTCTGAACGTGTATGATATGGCACGTGGCATTTGACCGGGCACGATGGTTACCAACAGACTATTTACGTTTGACAAATACAATTCTCTTCACGCTAAGATGTCTTTGAGGTGCCTTCAAGAAATGGAGACAAGTTATCGTCTTTAATTTGTCTTGTTAGTGACGTCATACGTTTATGATGTGTCAAGTGTGACCTCACGCTTACATAGAGTATATTTTATAGTGTCTTCAGTAATACCAAATATACATCGTATTTCACTAGTGTGGCTGATATTTTGATATCTTTCAGGAGTGCGCAGCACGAGTGAAAGATATCAAAATATTTCACTATTTATATCACTTTTATAGAATGAATAATTTTCAATAATTCACTGAAAAAAATGTATTAAAATTTGTTATTTTATTATAGCATGACTTTTTGCGACTTCTACAATATTACAATTTTCCTCTATGAAAGAAACATTACCACAAAGGATTGCTGATGGGACAAGCTAACTACTGTAACAATACCCTATTCCGTCTTTGCATATTGCAGAGTTATCTTCTCTTGGGAGCAGGTATTGATTGTTACGTCACTTGTTTGTGAGAGTAACGTCATCAGTTTTTGAGAAAACGACGTAATTTTCTCACACAAACCAATGACGTAACAATTCCCTGCTCCCAAGAGAAGATAACTCTGCAATACGCAAAGACGGAATACCACCGTTTAGTTAATTTTCGTGATGATTAAAGTCCTACACGGAATAAATTATTGATTTCGTTCAATATTTTTGTCGACTTATTCATCCTCCATTTTTGCATTAGCTTCATATCTAGACATTTTTCTGTCATTTAAAGTAGAACATTAA